TCTTATCTGTTAGTTTAAGCGGGTATTTCTCCCTCCCCTCCTGTGCTGCCGGGGTCTCAGGACTCCCACCCAGCTCCCCTCACCGCCCCATCCCTCTGTGTGCACAATGCCAATAAGCATCACCTCCACCACCAAGCCGTCGTGCTCATCCTAGCACTCTGTGCTTTCCAAAACAAAAAGTGAATTTACTTTCATTCATAACTTTTACCCCTTCCCAGGGGATGTGAGGAGCTTTGTTTACTGCAGAGATCCCCTGGGCTATGCCTATATAAGCTCCAGCCCCTGAAGGATCAAGCCGGCAAGTCAGAAGATACAGAGCAGACAACAAGCAGACCTTTGAGTCTACAAATTGGAGGTTGAATGATTGGCAAACAACCTCTCCTCATGAAAAATTATGCTACAGCAACACAATAGTAATGGGAGCCAAAAGTATGTCTATTCCTGATTTGTAGACCAGGTTTTAGTTATGCTATAATCCTCTCAGTATGCCTGCTTAGGATCCCGCAATCACACGAGTCATGAACACTACCCACAAATCCTACGGCTTCCATGTCGAGCAAGCGACACACCAGATGAAGAAGGATGGAAAATATACATGTGGAATTGTTCTGGGAACTTAAAGCACACATAACAGTAAACAAAGCAAATATGGTGCAAAACCTGTTGCTATTTTCACAGCATTTGCGGAGCAAAGCTGCATAAATGCAGAAAGATGCGTACTGCCTCACACCTTTCCTACGATCCCAGCAAATTAGGCACAGCAGCACAAACAGCAGTGGTGAGAAGGAAACGCTATGGCAGAAGGGCTGCCCCGTTTGCTGCTGCACCCACAGGTATATGTTTGGGTATGTGCGAGAGAGCTGAATAAAAGAGCGTTAAAATTACTTGTCCTCAGGCGTCTTCCAGAGCCTTGGCTGCTTACAGGGAACTGAGCAGGGAGACTCCCCCAGAGCCATCCTCCTTCCTCCAGGCACAGCCTAAGCCAGTATGAAAAGGTTGCTCCTGTTGTTCCCTGTCCCACCTGGGGACAGTCTTCCAGTGCCAGTTTGGTCTGATAACTAAAAGAGTGCCTCTGCTCCCCACAGAAAAGGCAGTGCTGCTGTCGGATACCAGAGCACTTGCTGAACAAGAGGCACTACAGACAAATTTTGGCTGGTGGCAGGAAAGATGGCTGAATGCCAGCTGACAGAGAAGAGGAATATCAATCCCTGTGCCGAGGGACTCCTCTGAAAACGCTCCTGAAGCAAACAGCAACCGCTAACGGCACAGCGGCAAACGAGACGTGAGCGATCCTGAGCTCAGGGAGGAGAGAAAAAGGCAAACGGCTGAACTGAAGTGATCAACGTGAACTTGAACTGTGGCACAGGGCAAACATGTGGTGTGCCGTATGGAAACCCAGAACAAAACAGAAAGCTTGGAACAAAATGAAATTAAAAATCTGCTTTTATTTCAAATTACTCCACTAAACATCTTACTGAAAACTGTGTTGAAGTTGACGTGACTTTGTGACATGTTGTTCCTTGAAGACTGCCATTTTCCATCAAAAAAAAAAGGTATTAAAAACGTTTCAATCTGGTTACCTTCCACCCAGCAAAGCTAGAAAACATTAATTTGTGAGCTAAAAAATAACAGCACACCATTAGTGAGCAAGAGATAGCTGTTCAGCCAGCTATTCTATTCATTAGAATATTTTCAAGAATCCATAGATGCCAAACGCCTGGAAAGGAAGGATGGCAATCATTCCAAGCATGGATTTAGAACTTCAAACAGGTTTGATAAATTAAATTCTGTAAAGACAGGTCTCATGCAGCCTCCCTTTGCATCACTGTTTCTAGATATAGCCTATCTGGGAAAGGGTAATCAAACATCCATCTCCAAAACATATGAGCCTTCTGCCTCTGTTCTACAATGAAACATGACCCTCCCATAGCTACACAGTCCTGAAGCATAACAGCGTTCTGCATCCTGGGAGGTCTTCTACTGAACAGCCTCCTGCTAAAGCATCCCTGCAAAAGCACCTAAGCTGCCAAATCTAGGGCTTATTTGACGAACAGATTTTAAGATCTAATAAGTATCTGAATTAAATCCGATCATGAAGAATTAGATCAAGAGGAGTTAAAATGAAGGATCTGGAGCATCTCTTTTATGAGGAAAGGCTGAGAGACCTGGGACTGTTTACCCAGGACAAGAGAAGGCTCAGGAGAGACCTCATCAGTGTATATAAATACCTGAAGGAGGGTGCAAAGAGGACAGAGCCAGGCTCTTCTCAGCGGTGCCCAAGTGATATGACACGCTGAAACACACAAGGAAACGAACTTTTTACTTTGAGGGTGGTCAAACACAGGACAAGGTTATCCAGGCAGGTTGTGAAGTTTCCCTCCTCGGAGATATTCAAAAACCATCTGAAGAGTGTCCTAGGTAACCTGCTCTTGGTGGCCCTGCTTGAGCAGGAGGGTTGGACCAGGTGACCTCCAGAGGTCCCTGACAATCAGTCTGTGATAAATAGATGAATTACCATCACTTAGATAAAACCACATAAAAAGAAAAAGAAAAAAAATAATCAAGAAGTAATGGGAAAAAAAAAACCAAACAAAACACCAAAACCCAACACATTCATTATGGCAAGAGAAGTTCTGTATTGGACGATGTCTGTAAATAATACACCTATTTGTCCTATAATACACCTAAAGGCATAATGAGACTAGAGGTATAGCTCCACTAAGCTCAGCTACCAGGCCTAAAGCTAGCCCAAAATGCTTATATGTAAAGCCCAAACATACCCACAGCATTATAGTATAAGACTGTATCCATAAATTGTCAACTCCCCACCAGTGAACTTCATTAAGTTCACTGGTGAGATCAGAGAACTAATTTCCATTGGCAAACGCTATGGCTGTATCAGTGAATAACCAGAGTGGGAGCTGAAACAACCATCATCAGAGCAAAAGGCAGGGGATAGTGTGAGTTCTGGCTCTCTGTCCTCTAAGGAATACTACAATCACAGAAACACCTCCTAGGTTATATAGTTTATTTGCCTGCTGGTGTGAGGTTCTTTCCTACGATTTTTAACACTTACTTTTGCCAAGGTAAGAGCAATGTGTCACATCTAAGGAAAATGAGCTTATTGTGAGCCCCCTCAGACACTGTATTTTGCAGTGCCCAATGGATCACAGTGCTGCATCATATAACAGGGAAGATGCCCAATTGTTCAGACAACACGTTACCCCGAAATCGGAGTCAGCAACATAACAGGATCCCTCTGAGTGCTGGGCCCCGATACAAACACCTGGCTAGAGCACAGTGTCCTCTCCCCTGCTCAAGATACAGCTGATCAGTCCTGGGACCTCACGGGTGTGAGATGTGCAACGGCAGTGTCACACAGTAGTAACGTGCAAGAACTAGCCCAAGCTGTGAAAGAGCGGGAGGTAGTTTTGCGAGTCTCACGCTTAGATGCAGCTTTACAACCCCTGGTCCTCCAGCAGCCCAGCCTGCTCTCCAGGGATCCTGCTGGAGATCATCATTCTCTTTCACCCTGTGGAGGACTTCAAATAAACAACTCCAACCATGGTCACCTGAAGGTGTTCACAAAAGGAAGAAACTCTAAAGAACGTGGCTGAATAAGAAGTTACCGCGACGAAAAACATGTAGAAAAAATGCCAGAAGGCTGATGCAATCATCCTCCCTCCGAACACTCTGTTACACAGGATGGGTTGTCCCAAAGACAAGCTGCAGGGCTCCCAATTCTCACCAAACCCATTCGGGTGAAATATTTGTGGTGTCATCCTCTGCTGGGTAAGACTTTCCTTGCAAGGTTTTCTACACGAAACCTGAATCACACAACAGTAGAGAGCCCATCTATCTAAACATTTTTCCAGTATATCTGCTTCCCATCCATAAAGGTACTCAGAAGTTTTCAGCCACGTTGCTATCTCAGAGAACAAACTGAGGAAGCCAACCACACAAACTGCCCAAGATTAGGAAATATAGAGCATTCCACAGCTATCTAAAACAAATAAAATACAAAATAGTCTGTTACTTTCAAATTTAAATACAGAAAAGGCCATTAAGACAGTCATATTAAAATAAGGCAGCACTAAAAAATATTAAGACATGATAAAAATAAGTTTGTTCACATACCCCTAGCTCTTTCACCATGAGAATATACATTATAAACAGCATTTTTTTCCCCCAGACACTTGCTATTTTTTTGCATATTTAAACACAGATGTGGGTGCTTAACAACTGTAAAACAGTCATTTACTTAAATAACTGAGTATAGATTAAGGTACTTAATTTTTTATATGTACTTTTAAAATACTGTGTCTGTTTTATAATATTATTTAACACTTCAAGAGACAGAATCTTCATATATGGATTCCAAAAATAAGTGACTTACCTTTGCATTTAAGCAAAGAAATAGGGATTTGTGTCTGCTATGAAGGTATCTGTGAGACTGTATGTGTGTGCATTCGTCTGCACACGTGTGTACTCTGTATACAGTTACCTACATACACAACAGGCAAGAACAGAAAAAGACCTAGGGAAATAAACAATTAACATACTAAAATTATTTCACTAGTGTGAGAACAAATGTAGTATACAATGTTAAGGTCTGTATTATCCAGTTTATCAAAAATTGTTAGGAAGTAGGAAGAATATTCTGTTAGAAACATTGTATTTTAAACTGGGAACAAACAGGAAGACCAGAAAAGTTCCAACAGTTCATGGAGCCGCTGCACTGCAGTATTTCACTAGTACTTCCAAACACAGAACATGGGCTTTTTCAAGTTACTCGAAACACTGTCTTCATAAAAGGTTTTGCTGAATGAATCAGTCAACAGCACACAAAAAATGTTTCCCTGGAGCGTGCATTACTTAGCACCACTTGCAAGTGAAACAAAGTTTTTGAAGTGGAATAATACATTTTGTTAGACTAACTGTTCTGGTTGAAAAATATGCATATTATTTCAAGCAGACAAACTTTTCTTCGGATGTCTTACCTATTTGTTTCCTGTATTGGTCAACAGGAGTCCTTGCTGTAGAGGCATCTTTTCTACCCATCGCTTTGAATCCAAAAATCACTGTCAGAATCAGGAGAGGGGAAAAAAAAAAAAAAGGCATTATTCCTAAATAAGTTACTAAGGAAATCCATGGCATAACATCAGAAAAAAACTGTAACAAGCAACATTTACGTGATTATACAGAAAGATGTAAGCCTTCCCAGAGTACAATGAGAAACTGGAGTTAATCATCACTATTCTGAAGACTATTAGATAAATTCTAAACATACCTTTTTCCCCATTGCATGGGTTATTAACATTACAGAACGCCTGTTAGTTCGAATAAAAAAAGAAAAAAAGGGGGGGGGTGGGGGGAGGATTTAAACTGATTGCAGTGCAATTCAGCAGTTGATACCACTGAATTACATTCCTATATAATTTTTTTCTTTAGTAAACCACAGAGGGAATGTAGTATTGTGAGCTGCTTCTATTGTTGGCAAACACATTTCTGCCAGGTGGGAGCCTGAGGCAGGACTAGACATGTGTGTGGGTGCAGGTGTAACCGCTCAGGAAACCCATCTGCAGGCGCAGCCCTCCAGCCACCCTCAGCAGATAGCTGACACACAGACACCCCAACCCTCCTACCTTCCCATCATGAGCTCCAGAGATCTGCAAATGAAACAAAAGTGGACAATAACGGTGAGAGCTGGGGCTCTGCCTATTTTACACACCTCAGCCAAAATATTGAGAGTTTAAATCACCTTCAACGTGTTTAGGTAACAACCATCCTGACTCTTGAATGGGGTTCTCACATTGCATGGTGCTATCAGGTGACACAGGGATTGCACAGGGACTGCACTGTCATTCATCCAGAGATGCTCTTTTTGGTACTTTGGTACTTCCCATGCCATCCATGTAGCTGAACAAGCTTCATCTGAGTAGTGTTCTAGCAAACCCCCAATGTACCCTTTTAACATGCAAAACCTTATTCATCCCCTCACAGGGCTGCCACTCCAAAGACACAGTAAGACTCTACAGACATGCTCATTTCACCACTTTTTCCATAGTCAAAAAATACCTGGCGTTTATAGTCATGCTTGTTGCTCAAAACACTGTTTTTCAAACATGTTCGCTGTGTTGAAGACATCACTCATTACAGCCCTACCGTTTGACCATCTCTGTGACACAAGCATCCCAATATTAACCCCTGTACTTACAAGAGGACTGACACTTTCCAAAGTGTCAGATTGTCTATCCGAGCACGCAACAGCCAACACTTGCCTTTTCCCAGCCGGCCTTGGTGAGCACAGAACCAAGTGAAACTCAGCCCTTGAAGGCTCGGTGATGCCAAGCCATGGGCATGCCAAGGCACTGCTGAATGGGCTACCATCACCATCACAACCTTAACTGGAACAGGTTGTTGAGAAGCTGTGGATGCCCCATCCCTGGAAATGTTCAAGGCCAGGCTGGATGAGGCTTTGAGCAACCTGGTCTAGTGGAAGGTGTCCCTGCCCATGGCAGGGGGGTTGGAACTAGATGGTCTTTAAGGTCCCTTCCAACCCAAACCATTCTGTGATTAAATGTCCACTGTTATTTCCTTCATACCTTCAGGCAGGGTTCAAACTACAGCTGCAGGAATGACCCCACAAGTGATCTGTGCATTTCAAAACCAAAAAGTTTCTTCTATTGTACTTCTTTATTCTATAGGAATTATTGGCATTGATGTCAAGTGACAAAAACAGAACCATGGAGACAAAACCAGGCTCCCTGATCTTGGATGTGGGACACAGAGTATCAAATGAACTTTGGTGCTCAAAATTCAGCAACCTTTTTAAAAGGAATTGAGGAATAATAACAAGGTATAGAAGACTGCCATTACTTTTTTAATCTGAAGTGAAAATTCAGTTATAGTGTTCTATGTTTCCATATATTCCTTTGGTTTAATTCAGAGAATATTCCCATTTAATGTAAAACACATAAACAGTTCACAGTAATCCACTGGGTTTTTTTACCCTCTATTATGCTTCCCAGCTATCCTCTCGGCTGAGTTGTATTTCTCACATAACGTTCCCATCAGAATGAGAGTGGAAAACAGAAGTACCATTTGAACTTTCAGCTACTTGAGGAGATAACAGATACATTTTACACTGCACAACTAGTTCTTGGCTTTTTTTAATGCCGCTGCTAAAGACTGTTTTGGCTTGCCTTTTACAATTTCACTAGCCTACTAATGTTTTGTAACAAAACGTCAGCTGTGAAAGATGTTTGCAGTTTTAGCAGTGCCAATAAAACACACGAAGAAAACACAGGCAAAAAAATTATTTCCCAGTCTAATAGGAGCCAGAGAGACGCTCGCGTTTGCCCGCGTGGCTCGGTGTCACCGACTCCCGCATCTAGAACCTCCACTGCTCTTTGTTCTTCAAAGGGATGCAGTAATCATCATTCATTTCCACCGCTTTGATGGTTCGATAGCAAACACCCGAGAAACCCACGGAGACATTAGCACATACAGCCGCAATGTCTAATAAGACAGCTATTTGCATAAAAGATCAGCCACAATTTAAAATGTGTTGTGATAGATGTGGAAAGGGAATAACAGATCTATATTAGCATGTACGAAACCGAGATTGTTTTCACAATTTAATTCCTTGGGGACTGTGGCTCATCACCTTCTCCTGCAAAGAATCCTGCATTCCCTGAGGAAGCAACTTGCCACGAGCCAGAGTTAAACTAAAATATGGATTAATAAGAGATAATATTTATTATCCTCCTTGCTGTAGGAGTGGTTTCCAATGCAACTTTCTGATCAGATTTCCATAAAAGAAAAGGCTGGAACCTTTATGATTCACAGAACAATTTGAAAAGTGCCATTTCCCCCCTTAAAATAGAACAGTCATCCTAGAATAATTGGTCATCTTAACTTTACCATAAACAAAATTTGCTCTCAAGTCTCTCTCAGCTGTTTCTGGCCGCTCCTCTGCCTCCGACGTCAGCGAGTGGAGGGTCTGGCTTTATCTCTTTGTCAAACCAAAAGGATAGGCAGCGCACCACACTATCTGTACCCTGAGCAGCCTTCAGGTCCCTGGAACTGTAATGACTACCTAACCATGTAAAAAACATATAAAGGGGCTTGTCACTGCTCTTTTTACAGGCTACTAAAAATACTTCAAGAGTAATTTCAAATCATGTGAAGGCAATGTGAGCCCTCCTAACTTTCAAGCTTTTACAAAAGACGGTTTTAAGAAAACGAAGCGAGGCCCACAGCAATGATTTTTTTGTATATTGCTATCTCAGAGATACTACAAGGTCAAAAGACATTTTTGGTCTTGTGGTTCCCTTTAGTGTTTCTTCACCCTCTTTCTCTTCCCCTCTAGTAATTCACCTGTGAAGGCTTACACCCTCAGAGGAATACATGACTTTTCTTTTCCTGCTTTTTAATTCATAAGCAGTGACTGATAATAATTAATACACACAATAAATTGCCTGTTATCACCTCCAACTGTCAACAGCATTTTGTGAGATAAAAACCAGTTCTGAATGTCCATTCAAGGTTGGAATGTTTAAATCCCAACTCACTACTCTTGATGCATACACAGCAAAAAGATCTAAAGCAATTACTTAAATGACATAGCAACATACCTTGAATGCCTTTACAAATACCAGTAAAAGTAGAGACTACATAGCACAAATATTGTACTTTGTACATTTATGGTGCAATGGAAATGATTAATAACAGTGATAAAGTTTAAAGTGTGAACCAATGAACATACACAGATCTACATATATGAGTATATACAAACTTTCTTAGTGGTGATATTTGATAGTATGTCTGTATTCTTCAACAATATGCTGCCTAAATACTAATAGTGGGCACCTTAAATAAACAATCAATGCAATGACTGGTTTTGTAGTTGAAATATGTCTAGTTGGTTGTAAGCAAAGCAATTAAGTCTTCATAACAAAGAACCACTACAGAATGACAAAGTACTGGGCCAAGTCTTCAGCTGCAATGGAAAATGCAGGTGAATACACAGTGGATAGAAGTACCTTATCTGTAATCGCAAATGGATATCTAACACAAAACCCTTTTTTGGGGTTTTTTTGGGGGGAAGGGGGGTGAGGCAAAGCAGGTTAATAACTTAAACTCACAACCCAAATAATTCTTTAATAGGATTCAAACCTTATTGATGCCAGTGAAAAAATTGGTCTTTTACTCATCAATTCCACAGCTCACAGTTTAATAAATAATGGATATTAAAGCACTTGCAAGCTACAAGAAAGCAAAAATAGCTTTTTATCTTCCTCGTGCAAAATCCAAGGAGCACAAGATCCTCCACGAACATCAAGTTATACCAAAGAAGTGGTAGCACTGCGTTTAAAGTGGGAAGCTGTCTGCACATAGGTATTTTGGAAACCATGGCCATTGGTTATTTTAATTGGCTTTTTCTGGTGTACAGCTGAAGTACAGTAACAAAGGTCTGTCTGTACAGAAGTGGAAGTAACCTTCAGCCAAAACTGCCAGAATAATGAAGCTGAATACTTCAGCCAAGAGAAAGAATTTAAAAACATTTACTACTACTTACAAAAACATACAAACAAAAAGAAAAAAAATGAAAGAAAAACACGTTCATGTCCTATTGATAAGCCTTACAGTAGCCTTTACCACTCCTCTTCAAAGTCTCTCTCAAAGGATGAGACTATTATATCAAAGGAGAGTATCTGCCCATGGTGCTTCTTGCAGAATCCAGCCCTACTTTCTATGGGAATTTATTTAATTTTCTTTTCATAGAAGAAATATAACATTTCTTTACTTAATTTAACCTTGAAAGCAGCAGAAGTGATTTAAATTCAACTAAATTTGGGAAAATTAATCAAAAAATAGCATCCATCACTCCAATAGGAACAAACACTGCTAAAATAATCCTAACATTCTAACCATATCCCAGCATTAAAAACATCTAGAAAGTACAACTTTTATTCTGACAGGTACCAGGCTGTTTCATAGCTTCATGTAAGTACTAGGAACAAACCACACATTGTTACTTCCAGTAAGTGCCCTTTGCACTCTAGGGAAAGGA